ATATCCAGAATATATAATGTATTCTTATAATTTAATAAAAAGAAGACAACCCAATTTTTTAAATGGGCAAAAGATTTGAACAGACATTTCAAAAAAGGAAGATATATACACATGACAAGATGTTCATATCATTAGTCATCAAGAAAACACAAAGCCACAGTGAAATACTGCTACATACCTACTAGAATGATTAAACTTAAAATACTGATAATATTAAGTACTGTTTAGAGTGTGGATCAACAGAACTCTCATATACTGCTAATGTCACTGTAAAATGGGACATCTACTTTGGAAACATTTTGGCAGTTTCTTACAAAGTTAAATATACACTTCCCATGTGACCCAGGATTACCACTCCTAGGTATTTACGTAAGAGGAATGAAAACAGATGTTCACATAAAGACTTCCACACAAATGTTCATAGCAACTTCCATCATTTAAAAACCGGAAACAATTAAATTCCATCAATGAGTGAATAGAAAAACAAATTGATGTATATCCATATACCAGCATACTACTCAGCAACAAAAAGAAACAACTAGGGATCCACATAATACACATAACAATATGGATGAATCTCAAACACATTGTGCCAACTTCCAAGTCCTGGAGTGTCCTTTTCCGGATTCTCCTCCCTTTCCCTTCTTGCTCCCATCATACTAGTCTGAGGCCTCACCACTTCAGGCCTCGGTTAATCCAATGGCCACTCTGTCTGCCTCCAGCCTTTTGATTTTCTGCACCTTGTCAGAACAATCTTCATAAAACGCTCTTTCCTTATGTCATTATGAAAACCAAACAAAAATGTAAAACAACCAGTATCGTGTTAACATTTAATGCAGTTCTTCTAATGCCCCAGCTTCTAGAATATTTTCTAAGATTTCTTACCAGACCAATACAATAAATTTTCCTATTAATGAGTCTATATGTGAATGTAAGTCTTCTGACTTGTTCTGATATCCTATTCAATGTCTTTGAATCTCTTATCTTAGAACTACATGGTCAAGGATGTAATACAGGTCAGCTCTCCCTTCAGACTTTTTTCTCTCAGAGGCAGTTCCAGTCTTCCAGTTATCCAGGCTTGAATCAATGGAGTCAGTGTGGACTCATATTTCACCCTATTTCCCATATGTGGTCAGTTAACGTTCCCTGTTAGTCCTTAGACATTTCCCTTATATCTGTTTCTTTATGGGGCCCTGGTCACTACTAGAGTTTAGGCCCATATGTTCTCACAACGGCTTTCTTGCAATAATCTTCAAATTGTGTCTTTTGCCTCTAGACTTGCAAGTAGGTATTTGAGACTTCAGCTATGGTGATAGCATTTGAGGAGACTTACTATGCCCTAGGTATTTGTATATATTATTCTCATAAAAACCCTGCAAGGGAAATAAGAAAAACAAGTTCATTGAGTACTTTGTTCAAGATGATACAGCTAGTAAAGGACAGAGCCAGCAGGATTAAAACCTAGGTCTAAGTGGCCCATTTAGAGGTAAGAAAAAGATAATAGATAAAATTTGAAAGTTCTACATTTGTCTAGGGGAAAAAAAATGGGGAGAGACATTGCACTTAAGATAACAGGTGAGTGCTTTTAAGTAGGGACTTTTATTCCACTTACATTATTTTCTTCAAGGGTTATTTTAATTGTCTGCCATTATTTTAAGTATAGTTACCATCCTGGATAAAAGTTCTGTTTGATATTTTTATAAAGTGATGACTCTGATTTTAAAAGATATTTGGGTGGGGGCGCCTGGGTGGCTCAGTCGGTTGAGCGTCTGCCTTCGGCTCGGGTCACGATCTCAGGGTCCTGGGATTGAGCTCCACATCGGACTCCCTGCTCAGTGGGGAGCCTGCTTTTCCCTCTTTCCCCCTGCTTGTGCTCACTTGCTTTCTCTCTCTCTCAAATAAATAAATAAAATATATAAAAAAAAGATATGTGGGTGGCTGTTTGGTTACCTTTGACGACTTGAGATTATTTGTGCATTTCATGTGCCTGACATGCAGCAGGCTCAGTAAATGTTGGCTGGTTGAATGAAAGAATAATAATTAACATTTTCAGGTTTTACAATATTTAATACACTCATTTAACAACCCCATAAAGTTGGTTGCATTATCATCTCCATTTTACAAATGAGGAAACTAAGACACATAACTTGGCCAAGTTCACACAATCTATTATTGGTGGAGCATGGATTACAAGCAGAGACTGAGGCAACTCACTCTCAAGCCCTTGCACTAAACCACAGTAGCATCCTGCTTCTTGGTTCATGGAAGAGTTACTTTGAGGGTCATTCAGGTCCTTAGTAGAATAATATATGCATTTTGATGCTTCACATTTTAAGATGTAGGGCAATGGTCCTTAGCCTTGGATCTTTGGACCTGTGGTCCATGGACAGGCCCTAGGGGACCATGTATCTCATGAAATTTGATAGAGTTTGTGTGTATGCATAACCACATTTTTCCCTTGGGGCAAAGACCCATAGCACTCATCAAATTCTCAAAGAATTTTGCAATAACTAAAAGATTAATAACCATGGACATAGAGAGATATTTGGGATTTTCCTGAGACAAAGTTAAAATTATTAAATGTTCAAAAATACTTATAGGTTGGTTTATTTGAAGGATTGTCCACTGACTACATTTTTTTTTATTCTTATGTTAATCCCCATACATTACATCATTAGTTCTAGATGAAGTGTTCCATGATTCATTGTTTGTGCATAACACCCAGTGCTCCATGCAGAATGTGCCCTCCTCAATACCCACCACCAGGCCAACCCATCCTCCCACCCCCCCCCCCCCCAGAACCCTCAGTTTGTTTTTCAGAGTCCATCGTCTCTCATGGTTCGTCCACCCCTCCGATTTCCCCCGCTTCATTCTTCCCCTCCCGCTACCTTCTTCTTCTTCTTTTTTTTTTCTTAACATATATTGCATTATTTGTTTCAGAGGTACAGATCTGAGATTCAACAGTCTTGCACAATTCAGAGCGCTTACCAGAGCACATACCCTTCCTAGTGTCTATCACCCAGTCACCCCATCCCTCCCACCCCACCCCCCACTCCAACAACACTCAGTTTGTCCACTGACTACATTTTATCTCTGCAAAGGAGATTTTGGTTAGTGGACTAGAAATTAATATTTATTAGGCACAACTAATTGTCCGGTATTTAACATATACTAGCTTATCTTAAATCTTGTATCATTACCAGAAAGATATCACTTTACAAATGTATAAACTGAGGCTTACACTGGTAAGAACATGCCTGATAACATACTCATAAATGGTAGGACTAGGGTACCCGGACCTAACTCTGAAGCTGGTACCACCTCACCTTGTGTTTAGACACAGCTGCTAAATGCCAAGGGCATTCAGTGCAACTAACCTTGCTGGGAGGCAAGTCTTCCAGTGGCTTCCTGCAACACTGCCTGGAAATAGAGGCTGAGTTATAGGGCATGTTAGGGCCATTTTGAAGGACAGGAATTCAGCCTGGCTTAAGATGATGTCTCATTGACATCTCTACACTCTGTTCCCTGCGACTCCCTTGTAGGCAAGTTTGTCATGGCTGCAGTGGGACTGGTTTAGCTCCAAGACTGCAGGTTTATCTGAACCATTGCTCTGGCTGACTCATTATGGCACACTTCAGGCTTCTGGTGGCCCCAGCCTCCTCTTCCCATCTCTCGTGTACATTTGAACAAAGGAACAGTTCTCCTCCTACTGCAGCTGCAATGGAGTTTGCAACATCCTTGATGCACAAAACAGGAAGTGTAGTGGTTTGTTTCCTTGAGCTGCTACGCAACGTACTTCTCCTTGACTAGCAACTTTTATTCTACCACATAGCTTGCCTGAAAATCTCCTGCAAAACCACTTGTTTGTCAGGTACTGCAAGTCAGAGACAGGGCCTTTGAGATCTCTTGAAAGCTTTTCTAGTTTCACGGCGTAGCCTAGGAAGGTTTTAGAGAAGTAGGTAGGGCCATCCCCTTGTAACAGGTAGGGGGAAAAGACTGCTATCTTGGATAGGGTGTTTCTCCAGCTTTGGGGAGAAGTGGATTCCTCAGCAGAGACTGGCTTATCTCCCAGCAATTTTCCCAGCCTCTGCTCCAAGAAACATACCCTAGCAGTGCTGAATATCAGTCGACTGGATTAGTATTATCTCATGGCTGTTCTCCATCTAGCTGGAATAGGCTACCTGGGGGAGGAGAACAGGGATGGATCCAAAGAGGTTGCTATGGAGCCAGGATCACTGTGGTAGCAGAAGGAATTAGTGAGAATTTACTCAAGTAGAAAATAATTCCATATAACACTGAGGAAAACTGAAACAGAAACCTCATACTTCACAAATAGATGCTTTGCTTTACAAAAGATAAACCCAGTTTTCTTTAAATTATGAATTACCTAACATTTTAAATGATTCCATTGTTTTCCTAAAAGGAAAAAAGAACCTTTCCATACAAGATTTCCAAAACCCATTTATATTTGATTTCACTGTCAAAAATGTATACAGATTATACTAGTTTCCTAGGGCTACCATAACAAAGTATTATACATTGAATGACTTAAAAAAAAAACCCAGAAATTCATTGTCTCCCAGTTCTAGAGGCTAGAAATACAATTATCTTTGCAAGTGGGTCTGTGTGTTACTCTGAAATATTGCCTGCCTTCTAGTTTTTCAAAATCTTTTCAGATTTTGCTATCTTATTCAGTGATCAAGTGTATTCCTCACTTAATTATTAGTTTATCTTAATTAGTTGCTTTATCATTTAAGTACCTGTTTAAAGTACATAGTAGAATGAAAAGCTTTGATATAACAAAGTATATTACATTTCTGGGGTGATCTAAGACCTTGGATATGACTGTTCATAATGGTATCTCTTTCATTCCTTAGTGTTCATCAATGTCTGCTTTCCTGCTCTTGTTCTGTGGGATGTTTCCCTAGTTTTTCTCTCATCTCCCTTTGAACCTCATATCAAGCTTAGGGCCCATTTAATAGACATGCAGATCAAAGAGGGTATAATTATTTTTAATAAGCAAAGCTAACAACATAATTGTGGACAAGAACTTCTAGAAAGTTCATATCTATATACATCTCCTATGGCTTAGTTGCAGTTTCCCACTCACAAAATGGACATCCCCCTTAATCTGCACTTATAAATATTGCACATTATCTATATTTTATTTTCTACACATTACAATTTCAACCAAGACATAATTGTCAAGCATTGGCAGTAGACATTACATTAGCGTACCGGTGACCATTGTGGTGACCCAAATTTCCAGCAGCTTTGTTTTAATCCAAGAGTATTATTTTCTTATTTTGAAAATAGAGTGTTATTTTCTTACATGACTAAAAAGACTTTACACCTATTTCTTTTAAATAAAGACGTTTATTTGGAGAATATTAGTAGCATGATAACTCAACCTCACCAAATATTCACAGTTCATCAGGTCAGGCAATAGAACAAGTCCATGTGGCTTCTTATAAAGAAATGGATGACCACCTCAGTAGCTGCCTCCATCTTCTATCCTATTACTGGATGATTCAGAATTCAAAATATGAAGTTTGGGGACTTTTTCTCAAAACTAGAAATAAGTAAAATGTCTGAAGCAATGATGTTGACCTTTTTCAAAAAAATCTATGAAACTTTAACTGCATATTTCAGTCTTGTTGAATCTTTTGTATTATTCTGACTGTCGATAAGAACCAGAGGGCTATGTTGATGATTCTTGATAATTTCAGCAACACTTCCAAAGTACTAGAGCAAGAAAACACAAATGAATTAAACATTGGAATTTATGTTAACTTTAAGCTCTGCTCCTCCAATCTTCTCCCACTTTCTCAAGTTAGTCAACGTTACAGCTGACATTCTACCCAAAAAAGTTTCAGCTGACATTCTACCCAAAAAAGTCTAATTTAACAAAGGCTGGAATCTTCGAGGTGGCCGACTCTGGCCTTGCCTGTATTCAGTTACACTAAAAACACTGGCAGCCTCAATTAGTGTAACCACTTAGAGAAATTACTTCATCGAGTTATGATGTAATATTTTAATGACTTTTTATTTAGTAACAAGTGTAAAACTCTCACACACTGAATTTCTCTACATTCCTTACAAAATATAGATTATCTGTTATGTTGCACAAGTATTAGATACAAGAACTGATGTAATAAATTAGCCCTAGAATTTAGTATCAGAAAAGAGTTATTTCCCAGATTAATTCATGCTTGTTTTGTTTTTGTTTTCCTTTTTAATAAATAAAGAAAGCTTTATAAATTCTCATATTTCAAAAAAAATAAATTCTCATATTTTCATTTTTGCTCTAGCTCCCAGAGCTAATTTATAATTAGTTTAGATTTAATTAATAATGGAATCCATACTAGGCTTTTACCATACATATTTATTTTCCTGTGTGCTAATTCCTATTGTCTATGGATTTTAATTTAAGGTTATCACAAATATTCTCCTGAAAAATTATCAAAATTTTAAATGAAAGAGAAAATAAATATAACACAGAACAAGAAATGCATTGATTATATAAAAGTGCTACAAGCTCATAATCATAAATAAGTGCATCTAGAGTCATTTTCAAAAAAGCAGTAATTATTTTGCAACACTGCCATAAATTTAGCAATTATCACCAATTGATGTATGGTCTTTTAATTTTTCATACAAAGACAAATATCTAGAATAAAAGTTTTTTAATCCTTTAATTAATTATTTGGAAAGCTTCCACATATCTATATGCTGAATCAAATATTCAGAATACTGGTCAAATTTTTCAAATGAAATACCAGTTGTCTTTTAGATAATTGGCTATCTGAATATTAGGTTAGGGAGGAGAGATGAGATACAGGGACCTTCGAGCATCTTTACTCTTTATTTCTGAACTTGCTCTTCAATCATTCAGCCCTTTTGCAATTGCCAATGAAATTCTTTTATGATATTCATAAAGACATTCATCCTGTTTGCTTGGGATAGCATGTTGTTAACTTGAATGCAGTTGGAAGTTAAGTTGATGGACTAAAGAACTAGGAAATGAAATGGCATGGCCTCTTTGAAGTGGATTCCAAGCGAAAAAGTGTTTTCTGAACCCAGGAAACACAGTAGAGAGTTGCTATACTTACACAAACAAACATCTCATTCTGTCATTCCAGTCCTTGAATATTTTTGAGTATTTCTTTGTTGGAGTGTTTGCAGATTGAAATGTTTGAATAGGGAGTTGAGTGGAGTTGAAATGTGTGAAGTAGGGAGCATAGTTGAGGCATACTTAACATAGAACTGAGCATAACTTAGTTGCAGTTTCCCCTCAGTGCTTTTTTTTAAAAAAAATGTCTACAGTAATTCATTGTACTTGAGATATTCATACATAGACAGAAAAACAACTTGTTTGATAACTCAAAATCTCATGGTCCATAAAATAAAGCAAACATATATCAAAGCTAGGGGCGCCTGGGTGGCTCAGTCGTTAAGCGTCTGCCTTCGGCTCAGGTAATGATTCCAGGGTCCTGGGATCGAGCCCCGCATCGGGCTCCCTGCTTGGCGGGAAGCCTGCTTCTCCCTCTCCCACTCCCCCTGCTTGTGTTCCCCTCTCTCGCTGTGTCTCTCTCTGTCAAATAAATAAAATCTTAAAAAAATATATATATATATATCAAAGCTATAAAATTACTTAATACCATATTTACATAATGCCAAAACAACTGCATAAAATTGTTAAAAAATTAATCAATTGGTTTCTTTTTCTAACCATATACACCCAAACACAAATACAGGGAAAGAGACTTTTCACGATATCCACATTGTTGATATCATGTAACCAGAGTTTTCATTTTCCATTCAAGTGTTCAGTATATGGGAGAAATAACCTCTTTATTATGTATATAAAAAAGAGTTTTAATGGACCCTGTCAGCACTTCCAGATACCATTATAATAATATGCTATTTGTTTTGGTATCTATAGGCTGGATATGTGGGGAGTGGGCTGAAGTTCTATTCATCCTGTCATAGGGACAAAGACTCTTTAGGCCAGAGGAATCACTGTTTACCAGAGTTTCCTTAGCAGGACAAGAGTCCAGAGCCCCTATGGGAGCTCAAAACTTAAGAGAATTTCAGGACCTCTAAACAGGACAGCTCCTTCTCCCACCCTTAAGCTTCTTCTAACAGTACTGGACCCCTGCCTGGGGAAGCTTAGAATGAAACCATCCCTCCAGAGTCACTCTGTCCTAAGAGGATCACCACTATCTATTACACTGATTACTACTGAAGAGCATTTATTTTAAAGATTTGTCAGATAAAGGTTTCAGTGAGAATGAAGGTTTTTGTGAGTAGGGAAAAAAAGCAGACAGTTCTGTTAAAGTTTAACTGGTATTAAATGATAAAGCAATCTATATTTTAAAACCCAAGTTTGGTCTTGATCTGAGTTTTTGTGATTTCAGATTCAAGAGTTTTGCATATTCTAATTATCTTAGACTTTATTAAAAGCAAAATAAAACCCCAAACTATAAAACTCCTAGAAGAAAACGGGGAAATCTTCATGAGATTGTATTTAGCAATGATTTCTTGGGTATGACACCAAAAGCACAGGTAACAAAAACAAAAATAGACCAATAGGACTACATTAAATTTAAAAACTTCTGTTCATCAAAAGTCACAATCAATAGAATGAAAAAGCAGTTCATGGAATGGGGGAAAATATTTGCAAATCATCTATTTGATAATGGGTTAATATCTAGAATATATAAAGAACTCCTACAACACAAAACCAAAAGATCAAATAACCCAATTTAAAAATGGACAAAGGACTCAAATAGACATTTCTCCAGAGATGATATACAAATGGCCAACAAACATATGAAAAGATGCTCAAAATCACTAATCATCACAGAAATGCAAATCAAAACTGCAATGAGATATCACCTCCTATCCATTAGGATAGCTACTATTTAAAAATCCCAGAAAATAACAAGTGTTGGTAGGCATATGGAAAAGTTGGAACCCTTGGGGCGCCTGGGTGGCTCAGTCGTTGGGCGTCTGCCTTCGGCTCCGGTCATGATCCCGGGGTCCTGGGATCGAGCCCCACGTTGGGCTCCCTGCTCAGCCGGGAGCCTGCTTCTCCCTCTCCCACTCCCCCTGCTTGTGTTCCCCTCTCTTGCTGTGTCTCTCTCTGTCAAATAAATAAAATCTTAAAAAAAACAAAAAAAGTTGGAACCCTTGTGCACTGTTGGTAGGATTGTAAAATGAAGCAATCATTATGGAAGGCAATATGGCAGTTCTTCAAAATTTTAAGATAGAACTACCATATGATCCAGCAATCCCACTTCTGGATATATATCCAGAAAAACTGAAAGCAAGGGTCTCAAAGAGATATCTGCACACCCATGTTCATAGCAGCACTATTTACAGTAGTCATCAACAATAACCAAAAGTCTATCGACAGATGAATGGATAAACAGAATGTGGTGTACAGTACAAAGGAATGCTATGAAGCCTCACAAAGGAAAGAAATCCTGTCACATACTACACAATATGGATGAACCTTGAGTATATAATGCTGCATGGAATAAGCCAGTCACAAAAGGACAAGCATGGTATGATCCCACTTATATGAGGTATCTGAAGTAGTCAAATTCATAGAAATAGAAAGTAGAATGGTGATTGCCAGGGACTGGGAGAGAGTGGAAAAGGGGAGCTGTTTTCAATGAGCATAGAATTTCAGATATGCAAGATGAAAAGTTCTGGAGATCTGTTTTACAGTGTTGTAAATATACTTAATACTACTAAACTATACACTTAAAAATGGCTAATATGGTAAATTTTAAGATATGAGTTTTTTTAACCACAATTAGAAAAAAGCGAAATAAAGAATACACTCATTGACATAGACCTTACCAGTTTGTTTTACAAATGCAACTCTCCTGCCTGTAATCACTCAATCAACAAATAAATTCATTCATTTAATAAGTACTAATCAAGTATCCACAGAAGGCAGACATTCAGCTATGGTTCTGGAAATACAGAGATGAGCAAGACCTAGTCTAGTCCCTGGTATCACCTAGTGGAGAGGACAAACACTTCAGCAATTATGATGCTTTCTAACAATTCAAACACTTTCTAACAAGTGCTGGGTTTGGAATGAGTATAGTTCTTTCTGAAAGAGTATTGAAAATAAATATTTACTAACTTGAATTTTTTAAATGCTATCTCCTCTGCTTAGATTGTTCCTTCCACTTTCCTCCTTCTCATCTTTAACTTTCATTCTACCTACTCAAACTCAATCTATCATTCAAGGCCAGAACAAGTTTCACTCCCTTTCTGACCATTTATGGATTATTCCAGCCCATATTTCAGGGTTTTCTTATCAAAACAAGCTGGCTAAATAGAGATATGGTAAGCATTGAGTTTGGTCCAGATTAAAGAGGAGTTGGATTTCATATTTGGTTAGTATTCAAGACCTACTGTAATGCTTTTCTCTTGCTACAGGCCCCAAAACTCATTCTGGTCCAAGGGCTATAGTCTAATATTTCAACACAAGTTTCTGTACCTCCTCTGATCCTTCCCTGGTCATCTACTTTGGTACTTGAGTTGAGATCCTAGTTCTTGACTTAGGAGCTCTGGACACTGACCTTGATTCTACTTGACACTTCAACTTTGACTTCTATGTTTCACTGAACCAAAATACTGAATCAGAGTGCACTAAGTAACAGGATAAAGGGACTTAGAAATGCAGCCTTTATGCCATACAAGTCTTTCCTCCTTTCTGTTTTCTCATAGAATATGCTGCCTGAGCACAGTATTTTATCTTGTACTCTTTTCTTTTCATGACATGTATGCAAGCCTTGCACCAAGTACTCTTGTATCCTTTCTCCCCATCTCTAGCACATAATACACTATGATACCATTGTGCTGAATCCATAGTTATAGAGTTGGATTAAAAGAGAAGTTACTGACCTCTTCACCATTTTTCTTTCTGCCCAAGGCATACTGCTTTGTTGCCTCAATAAATCTCACAGGGATATTATATACTCGCTTATTAAAGAATACAACTAGTGTATATGGCTGTTTGGAATCATGGCCAGAGCTTTTCCGAATAAGAAATGATCCATCCTGTTTATTAAAAGAAAAACACATTATGGTGAGTATTACTTAGGTTTTCACAGGTTATAAATCAGTTTATACCTATGTTATATTCAAAAGGTAATTATTGAGCTATATGATTTTTATTATTGATTACAGTTTATTATTTTCCAAGAAAATACTTCAGTAAAATATATACTTATAGAAAATCCTGAGTGAAGTCAATGCTAGCTTTTTGATGCATTTATATATTTAGAAATGTATGAAGGGACACAGTAAGATTAAAGGTAGCGAGCACTCTTGAACTAGGAACCATGTCTACAAGTTACCTATGAATAAAAAAATATGAAACAAATTCCATTCAAAAGTACTATGAGAAGAAAGCTGAAATTGGGAATCAAAACATTTCAGCTGATGAAAACTCTCTTCCCTAAAACTTATATTGAAGCAGAAAAAAAACTGTAACACAACATACCAATTTAAATAAATATTTTATAAAATACTCTAGGGGTGCTTGGCTGGCTCAGTCAAAAGAGCCTGTGACTCTTGATCTTGGGGTCCTGAGTTCGAACCTCATGTCTGGTGTAGAGATTACTTAAAATGAATAAATGAATTTAAAAACTTAAAAAATAGATTAAATGTTCTAGAATCATAAATCCAAAAATTATGAACAAAAAATGGATGAAAAGCAGAAAGAAGAAATGCAACAAGAGTTGATCAAACTCAGGAAGGAAACTGAAGAGAAAGGCAAACCTATTTCAGAAATGAAGAAATTATAAGATGCCCAAGGGACAATACCTTTAAATGAAGATATGATAAATGACTGAAGGAAGGCAAGGAAGCAACCCAGACAGGGGGGAAAAAAGGAGATTAAAAAAAAAAAAAAAAGAAATAAAATAGAGTCAGAGTGGTTGGAATGAAAGAAAGACAAAAAAGGTCCAAAATGCATGTAATTTGAGTTCTTAAAGAAGAAAAATAAAATAATAGAACAGAACTACTTTTTAAGACTGGAATTTAACAAAATGTATTGGAAATAAGAGGAAACTTAAATCTATATATATTGAGAAGGGTTCCATCTATCTGAAAAAATTGACCTGAAAGTCAACTCAGAGACATATTCTGGAAAACTATTAGACTTTAAAAACAAAAGGTCTGCAGAGTCTTCTGACTAAAATATGAAATTATATATAAGGGCAAGAAAATAACATTAGCATCAGACTTTTCAAAAGCATACTATAAAACAAGGCAATCCAGTGGAGCAACACTTAAAAACTCAAGACAAGGATTTTATAACCAGCCAAGATATCCTCCAGGTTATCAGATTATGAACAGCTTTGAATGTGCAAGAACTCAGGGAATAATGTAAATATAGTCCTTCCTGAGAATCTATTAAAAGGTGAGCTTTGTCAAACAAAAAGAAATAACTGGGGAAGCCAGCAAAGGCCATCTTGACCTCAATCTTTTAACCCATGCATTGATCCAAAATAGCCTGTTACTTCTCACTCCTGAATGGATCTCATGTAGCACCAAACCTTACAGAGATCTCCCCCTGGAGACTTCTTCTCTCCCACTGATTGGAGAACAGTGGGGCTTACAGATCCTTGCAGAGAAAGGACAAGCACAAATGAGATGGAAGAACAAAGAGGGAGATGCTAGAGAGAGGAGAGGATGGCAATTGCTCTTGAATAAGTAAATTTTAAAAAGGCCTGCATCCATAATTGTTGCAATTCTTTAGTCAGCCAATTGTTGGGAGGACAGCTGTGCCTATTATAGGCTGAGAGCAGAATATGGGACTTAAAAATGGTCAAACCTTGTTTGATCTGTATAAAGCCTCTTCAGCAGACTTCCGATCGCAGGCACCAGCGTACCATTGCTTGCAGTGAAGGTCCGCTTCCTGTGAAATGGAGGGCATTGCTAAGCATGAGATGGCCCTTCAATAACACGGCACCTTCTGTGCACTGAAAACAAAGTCCCATTTTGCGTTACCAAGGCAGACCTAACTATATTTGGACCAGCAATTTAAAAATGAGTTTTCTGCTTCCTTTGATCAGTCACAGGATTATATAAATGACTTTTTTCTCATTTGGCCTTAGCTGCTAACTTTAGTACTTGAGCATTATTATCAATCAATCAATCAAACAATCCTGCTGGATTCCTGAGTCATTTACTCCTTTCTCCTAAATAAGTAATAAGCTCCCTGTCTATCATGAGCTTATGGTTGTTGCTTTGTAGAGTGCTTCTAATTTCCGAAGCGTTTTCACCAAATATTATTTTACTGGATTCTTTTAACTACTCTGAAGGCAAGAAGGATACATGCTCTCATCCCTCTCTACATTTGAGAAAGCTTAGCGAGACTTGCCCAAGGGCACACAGAGTTCTTTCTCTGTCTTTTTAAAAACTGTGCTGCTTTATGTGTTTTAATATCATATGCCTCCACAGATCTATTCTGAGAAAATTACACAGTTTAAATAGAATCTATGTGAGAGGAAGAACAATAAAAACAACACACTTCTTTGCTAGTTTTGAAGAAACACAAATTGTTACTTAGGGCATCTAGAATACAAATTGGAATACATGGAGCAGGGTCTTAATCCCTGAAAACAAAATGCATTCTGTACCCATCAGCAAATGACAACTCGCAAGCTGACCTAAAATATAGTCTGTCCTCAAGCTTCACCCCAAACTCCTCATAAGACATTAGAAGACGTTGCCTTTCCTGCAGTTTAATGGTAACAATAAGAGTTCATTCATACCTGTTCTGACAAATGGGGGTTAGATGAAAATAGGCCATCCACAGTTGAGCCTCCCCCTTCTGGAAATCCTGAAAGGGATTTGAAAAATCAATGGTCTTCAGCGTATCTTGAGCAGTTAGTGTGCCCAGACTCCGACACCATGCTAGGTGCTGCAGGGGTCACTCGGCACTGAAAAATCACACACACGCCAACAAGTCCCTAAAAGCAGTGGTTCTCAAAGCATGGTCTGGGGGCCCCAGGAATCCCCAGGATTCTTTCAGGGAGGTTGTGAGGTCTTTTCCAAATCACTGTCTCTGTGAAGCCCCATTTTCTTCATGTACTTCAGCCAGAAAAACATTGGAACAGCTTGAATATAGAAGCAGATATGAGAACCAGCTGTCTCTATTACTCTAGGTATTAAAGAGATTTTATTTTATTTTTTTTAAGATTTTATTTATTTGACAGAGAGAGCACAAGCAGAGGGCGAGAGAGGGAGAAGCAGGCCCCCCCGCTGAGCAAGGAGCCCGATGAGGGACTCGATCCCAGGACCCTGAGATCATGACCCAGGCCGAAGGCAGCCGCTTAACCGACTGAGCCACCCAGACGTCCCTTAAAGAGATTTTAAAAATGTAAAACAAGGGGGTGCCTGGGTGGCTCAATCGGTTGAGCGGCTGCCTTCGGCTCAGGTCATGATCCCAGGGTCCTGGGATCGAGCCCCGC